CCCCCCCCCCCCCCAAATTTGATGCCTTGTTCCTTTTGTCCTGTTTTGTGCCACCACTCAGGAATGAGTCCAGCTTACGGGCACCCACTGAGTATCTGTCTCCACTTTCCTGAGCGTCTGCTTGAGCTCGTTGAAGGCAATCGTGAGGTCATCGTTCACGATGACCTTTTCAAAGAGGTGACCATACTGGTTTTCCATCATCTGAGCAGCACTGATCATCTCCTGGAAGTCCTCCTCCTAAACAACAAACACATTCAGTCAAAGTTCTTTTTAAACACATGAAATATGGCCCCCCAAAAAAGTCCAAAACACTTTCCCAAACTAGTCTGAAAACCAGCTTCCAAAAAAGACTTTCATAGATGCCCTCAACATCGACTTAATTAAAAACTATTCTTTTTTAACAATAAAACTGCTTTAGATGCAGAAATGCAAAAATATCTACATGTGATAAAAGATAAAACTATAAACTGATATTTAATGTTCTACAGAGGTGGTGCACAGTTAGAGTTATAGTTTGAGGTCTGGATCTCCAGTGGTTTTGATCACAGGAACAGTGGCGTGAATAAACGGACCACAATTTTATACCCTGGCATGGGCGTTTAAACGCCCAATAAAACGATCAACAGTCATTATTCATTAAATATTTTTACCATTCAAAACAAACTGACATCATTGAAAAACTGTAAAAATACAACAGGCTAAAATCAGACATACTTTATAACAAACGCATCAACCTCCTACCACTAAGTACTCTTTTCATGACATTGCAGTCTTGGTACAGGCTAGTTATGGACTTCCTAACATGGCCTTTGACCTTTCTGGGCTTGTGGGTCCTAAATAAGTGTTTATGTGGGCAATCGTGGTATTTGGTGCCAGTCTCAGAGAACATGGCAGGGTTTGTGTGGCTTTACCAATATAGACTCAACTTTTACAACACATAAACATGGGACCCATACTGAGAGCGATATGATGCTATAAAACATATTGCCACTCTAAATCAGAAGCTTTTGGCCAGATTTAAAAAGTTTTAAATTGTGCAGAGAAGCTATTAAGTACATAGAAAGTATGGAAATGTTGAAATTTGGCATTAGCAGACAAGACAGTGGCAAGCTTAGCGAAGCCATGGTGCATGGCCATTGTTAGACGGCAACTTCCCCTCCCACTCTCTGTTGAAGCCTTCCCATCTCTCCCTGTCCTTCTTTCTTGATCAAGAGTTGAGATTTAGTCAACATTTCAGTTTCATTTGGGTCACAGAGCTGCTGGCATTCTGAAAATTACAGCAGTCTCTCTATCTGACAGTTATTGGCAGAACGCATCAAAAGTCACAGTTCATTGACCAAGACATGGCTTTAATAAAACTCTGCATGGTTCAGCGTGGTGGATTAGCTTGTGTTTGGCCTAAATAGTCAAAGGTTTGGCCCAAGGTCTGAACATATTTTTTCTTCATTCTGTCATCAAATAAAAACCTCATGCTAATTGAGGCATAACAGATGTTGTGCCTCCAGGGGAGTGCTATTACCAAATCTGATCAGTTTCAAGGGTTTAAATCTATTTTTCCTCTGCATTTCTTTCCGACTGTTTATTTCCCAAAGGCTCTAATGCGCTTTCTCACTCAACGTCCGGGTCTTCCCTCCTCAAAAATAGAAGAATTTCTTGAGTACTAAGCTCCCTCCACAGTCATTCTGCTTATCTCTCAATCCTTGCCAAAAAATAGATTTTTATTGGATCATATAAAGTGCACCTGCCCTTATCATTAAACCAGTTCAAAAAGGACATTTCTGGGTCTTCAAGTGGTCCCTGTTTTTATATTCCCAAAGTAAAGGCACTTCATCTGTGGACTGGGCTGACTTTCACCGAGCAAAGGACAAAAAAAGAAAAAGAAAAAAAAACCAACAACAACATCCTCCAATTTTAGCTTATGTTTCCACTCCTCATTATAACGATTTAATGCCAGACGATGAAACCCTCTACTCTTCCACCTCTGATGACATTTTTATGAAACTTTTTTTTTGCTACTCCTAAAAAGAGAATGAGTGATATTTTGATCTTTTACACATTAATGTTATACAAGCAATACTAAAAGGGAGAACAATAGAGTGGAAGACTGGATTCACAGAAACAAAGGGATGCCTGTTTTCTTGCACGGAGCCGACAGCACTCAAATTCATGGCTATAACAGTCTCTCTGGGAAAGAAATACTAAGTCCTGGATAAAATATGTCTGTGACATTTCATCAAGCACAATTTTTCTTACGTACCTACAATAGGCTGAATCTGAGTGCCTTTAACACTGTCAGGGTCAATAATGCATTTTTGCTAAGTGTTGCCAGCTAAGAAGCTTTTTTCCCCCCTTACTAATACCCACAGTGACCTGTTGAAAGCAGGCAGACGTTGTTGTGGATTGTGTGGACAGCCTTTGGTACAGTTGCTCTTACAACAGAGATAGCCAGGGCAACATTCCCACTGACGATGGCATAATTCTTGAGCTTTCTGGGAATTTAAAACTTTGGGGAGTATGGCGTGGTCTAATAATCACACATTCAGTGGTTTGAATTAAGGTGACCAGCATCTATTCAGTTTCAAAGTGGTTGAAATAAGAATAATGAAATATACTTCTAATATAAACTTGTGAGCATGTGTATTAGGGCTGCACAATATGTCAAAATAAAATGGATATGGGGATATGGCTTAACACGATGGCAAATCACGAAGGCTGCAATTTAATTTAATAAATGTGTGCTGCCGACATCAAGAGTGAAGCTCGGCACGGTTCATTAACAAGCAAGTAGCTCATAATACAGAGATTCAGTGTCTCAAAGTTGAGCAGCATGTGTGTAAATTAACAGTGTGCTACTTCACCTTTGAAACTGGCAATGCATATATTTCTTGTTGGCAAAGCGCGAAAATAAATGCTTGATAGTTTAATGTTTGAAAATGAGGAAATTAAGACAAACTTGAATAAAAATGCAATTTTATTATTATTACCGTTATATTAAATGCTCTTTATTTTACAGTACAACAGTACTCTTGCAACATATTTCTTATACTTGAAAGTCATATTGAAAATAATCATATTCCACCCTCAAAAACAGTGGGAACAAGGCCTCTGAAAGCTCGTGGAAAGAAATCTTTTTTAAAAACTGGTTACTGAAAGAGGTTTCAGTTGATTTCTGTAAAGAGTTCCAAAGTGCAAACATCTAAATATTTCACATTTTCCCATATTGTTTAACCCTAAAACAATGATTTGCACTCAAATAAAAATCTATATTTTTTATAATTTTTGTTTGTATGTTTTTTTTTTGTATGCATATGCACTCCCCAACAAAATCACCACCATCAAAATTCTTCCCAAATATAGCTATTCAAGTCATCTGGTGAAAACTCCTGTAATTCTTTATATCAATATATATCAATTCTTTATATCAATACATACAGCAGAAAAAACAAAACAAAACCATAATGTTTGTGTGTCGCACTGCAGCCTAGATGAACTCAGACAGACAATATTGTGGGTGCACGTGTGTCTGAAGTCATTTATGTTTTAGCAGCTGCTTCTATGAAATCATAATGGATAAACAGACCAAACCTGCTGTGAAAAAATGATTAGCATCCAGTATAGGAATTAATGTGCAAAATTGCCATGAGCTACTATTGCCGATCCGTGTTGTGCAAAAGACGAAAAAAAGTACATCTAGGTTGACAGGTGAGCACATGTTTTGAACTCCTAACTGCATTTGACACAGAATGTCTCTGCAGTAACAATCGGCATCACGCCATCTCAGCATGTGGTGGAGTCGGGTTCCTGGGGTCACTTATGCAGTAGCAAGCACACTTGTCCCCTGTGCAGACTCACAGCGAGATACATAGACAAGAGCTGAACTCTGGGAAAGTCATTAGATACCTCGCATATTCACGCCACATCGCACACTCACATAGTGCAAACTAACGGCAGGACTGGGTAAGGGTCTGGTGTACATGCTAATTGATTGCATGTGTTTTCTTTGAGTGCAGTCATACAGGTGTAGTGTGAGCTCACGGGTCTCATATCAGGTTGCCGCTAAGGGGACCAGTTACACATAAACACACATGAGATGCACACACACACATTTAAGCACTAACCCAGGATATATTTGCTAGGTCCAAAAGGAAAATGACTATTATAAATGATGTGAATGTTGCCAGGAAGTGATTAAATCTATTTCTTATTTCACCAAAAACTATGTGAGATAGTGGAATGAAAATTCAGTGAACATGACCTAAAACCCACAACAACCTATTGAGAGAGAAAAGAGATCACATCAAGGATGAGAGAGAATGATAGATGGACAGATTGAAGTCAAAGCTGTGTTTGGTGTCTATTACCGAGAAGGGTTTGGATGAGTTCTTATCGTCTTTGCCTGAGATGACTTTTGCGTTCTTCCTGGTCTCGCTCAAACGCTCGATGGATGGAGGTTTCACAAACACAACATAGGGCTTAAACTCGGCTGTGCGAAGATGCTTTAGTGTCTGATGGAGAAAGAATGTGAAAAAAGAGAGCAGGGTGAACCACAGTCATTAAAGCAGCATCACTCATGTCATCTGATTTAGTCGGACACTGATACTTCTGTACATTATTACGGCTAGTCACAGTTACATTTTGACAGAAAACAGAGCAGCTGATGCACACTGAGCTCAACTGATCTGACTCCATGAGTAAAAATAAAGCACTTTGGTCAGACACATTACACTTCAGGTAGTCGAGATCCTGAAGAAATCTTCAAAACAATCAGACCACTGAACTTTACCACATTTTTCGTTAGATAATTAATGATTAGCTTTAAAGCATATTGTAAAGTTTTGTAGCATTTTTCCACAATAGCTATGATCTCGTTTGGAAAATCACCAAAATTTCCACCCTTTTTCTAGCCCTATAATTAAAAAGGTTTTTGCCACTGTACATTTAAAGGGATCACTCTTTCAAAATGTAAACATGTCAATGTCATTTACTGTTGCGAACAAAAGCAAACAAAAGCAAAAAGTGGCCATGGGCTGTTAAGCTCCAAAATGTCAAAAAAGCAACATAAAATGTTCACAAAAGTAGTCCACAATGTTTTGAAGTCATATGATACATATATAAAGATTATTGCCAAATCAGCTTTATGCTTCAATTTGATGAAAACATTTCTTAATTTTGCATATACATAACTCTATATTCTTAAAATTGTAAGTTTTTTTCTGGTTCCATCTTGCAAAACAAGTCTGAACTGAGATTGGAGAGCTATGCTGGAGATTAGTAGTAAATTCAGTCTCCTGATCATACAAAGCTATCATAAGGCTTCATAAGAATGAGAATATAATGCACTTAATAAGAATAATGTATAAATTGTATAGGCCAAATTTAATACTTAAAACTTTTTTTTTTTTTTTTTTTTTTTTGAGTTTGATAGCCATGGTCATTTTTGTATTCCGTGGGCTAAAATAACAACATGAGGATTTGGAACAACATCTTTGAAATGAGTAAAGATTTTTTATTTAATTTAATTTTCACAAATGTCTTTCTTCACTGAAGGTGTATGCGCCATTGAGATCAATGGGAATGCTAACAGATACAGCTCTCTCCAGGTATTGCAGACTTGCCACTAGGGCTGTGTATCGGCAGCAAAGTCACGATATGATACATATCCCGATAAAAAGGCCACAATATGATACATATCATGATACAGGTCTGCATTAAATTGCACCTCAGCAGAATTTAGTATAACAGCTGTTTATTAAACACTGCATATTATAGGGCCATTTCTAAATATACAGTAGGCAGAGCAGGAAGTTGACTTCAGAATTATGAAGGGCCTCCATAACTGTACCACAATATAGCCTAGGTTTCAGGTTTCCATTGGGCACTCCCCACCAGGTACATTCTGATTGTTTGCATCTTGTTTGTAAGCACATAAATAATAATGTACTCATTCTAATACATTTATACTGGTAATGTACTCATTCTAACATTCAGCTCAATATCTCTCTTGTAATGGTATGTTAACTACATCATGTCACCAATAAACTAAATATTTTGAATTTTCACCTCAGTATGTTTGTTCTGTGAGTTTCTTTATGCGTGCCGTTACGCTCATTTGATTTGATTTCTCCATGAAAGTCTTTCACACAGACAGGCAGCACAAGCCTCAACAGCGAGTCATTGATAACAGAAATACACTATCCATCTTCAATTACTGTTTGAGCTCAATGTTATAAATCAGAAGAATCATTCTCGCGTTTTGATGCTTCACTAGTTATGTTTTGCCACTTAAGTTTTAACCATGCCATTGGTTCATTCTCTCTCTCAATACTCCTAGAGAGAAGCCAGGCTTAAACCATCAAAGTAAGATGTCTGAGGCAGAGGCAACAGAGGTCTTTCGCTGGCTTCACTGGGGACACTGATAAGAGTTCTGCGAAAACTCAACCCATTAAATAATTTTTTCCTGCACTACTCTCTCACACTGACACGAAGCCTAAGGAAATCTTCAAACGTGTGACAATTAATAGAGATAACATTAAATCTCCTGCCTGACCTGAAGACCAAAAGGAAAAGTGCAAACTTACAAACACTCACACACCACACTGATCTCAGAAAAGATCCAGGAGGAATAGTGTGGAATGTCACACCTGTGAAAGGGGGAAAATAAATCTGGAACAGAGACTGAAGAATGAAGTGACGCAGAGGGAGGTAAAATGGAGAGGTAGAATGTGTATATGAGGAATGGAGTTACTCACATGTGGCTGTACGTCTAGAAGGCACACCTTGTTCTTAGAAAGAACTGAATGTACAGAGTCGAAGCTCGTCCCATAGTAGTTTCCCTTATACTCTCCATGTTCAATGAATCTGAGGCATAGGAAAAGACAGAAAGAACAGGAGAGGTTTGATGTAATGATTGATGGCTCTAAATGCAAAAGCAATGCCCATGAGTCTACGTGACCCCACACTAGAATACAAAGAGAAGCCAATGGACAGGATAATGACAGGAAACTCATAACCCATTATTTACTTTCAGCCTGTCCTGATGCTTTCAGTGTAAAAGGCTGCTTAGACATGTACGGTGAGTTCACCATCACTCGCATTCTTCCCCACATGGCAATTCCAGACAGTCTGACACAAGGTTCTTTTATATAATCTTCTATGTTACAGTTTAAATCAGTAACACCTGTTTCCTCGCAGCACAGGCAGGCTTGAATGCCAAAAGCAAGAGTAAGTGGACTTCCCGAGAAGACAAAGACAAACAAACACTTTTCCACTATTTAATCTGCCTCTCTTTCAATCCGATCATTAGATTTTTTTTCCTGATCAGCGTCACAGTACACCGGCGTTTATTTATAGGACACTCGTATTAGCAAGAAATGTGGAAGGATATGGAAAGTATTCCGGAAGAACGAAAGAGTCTTACGACAGCACGGTGTCGTAATATTCCATGAATATTTGGTTATGCAACACAGACCACTAAAATCACCACTACTGAAATGTTCTTTATACTGTATGTACAGGCTTCTTTATTTTTCCCTAAGTATCAATCCAAATGTCAACAAGTCTTTGAAGTGAAAACAATAAATGCGTTCACACTTTTGGGCCCACACTGTCTAACAGCAACCTGTGATTGGCCAATCATTTTTAGAAGCTAACGTGACTCCCTGCCACTCTTCTCCTGTTAGATATGTTTTAAAAGTCTGTACACTCTTTCATTGAAGGCAATTTGAATGGTGAGCTAAGTTGGGTGCTAAGAGGTGGTTTGCTGGTGTTAATGTGACATGTAGGGTTACCCGGAATTCCCAAAGTGACTAAACTTTAATTTGAAGGCAGATGTGCCCAAACAGGACTTATGTGTCGTGGCGTTTGTTGTCATGATGCGGTGCATGTTTTGGATGGCAGGGTGGAGGCTGCTTCTGTGTTTTTTGGGTTCATTTAAACACTGTTTTTAGCCCCGAGTAGGGTTTTCCTTGGGAACAAGAATGTCATGTTTGCACATGAGAATGGCCGTTTTCTCACTGGAAGGCAGAATAATGAACAATGGGTCAAATATATCTGTCTGGTTTACAATGTTCCTAGAAATATATTCATATTGGTTTCATATGGATTTCAAAAGCATTTTCAGAAAATTGAAAGAGTCCAAAATGTCATGTGGTGTAATCAATTAAAATATAATAACGTATTTTCATATGTTGGTTCCACATGGTTTTCCCTAACATTTTCATTCATTGGTTTCATATAGTTCTCAAAATCGTTCATACCATTTTCAAGAAAAGTTCAAATTTAATGACTTTAAAAATGTCATATGGTGTAACCAATCAAAATATAATTTCCTTGAATTTTGAACACATGTGAGTGTACAAATCTTAAGACATTATGAAAAAATACAAATATATTTCTAATGTAAACAGTTTTGTTTAAGTATTTTAACATTTTACAGAAAATTGTTTTCCTAAGTAATGATCACATATGCAACTATGTAATAAAGACTTATTTTTAATGAAATTATTCATATAATTATTATAATAAAATATTAATTAATTAATTAAAACATTAATGATTTTTTACTGAAAATTACAATAAAAAATTTGATAAAAGTTTTTGTATCTGTGAGCTACACGTTTAATGTATTTTTAAATAAATGAATAGGTCCAGACAGATTTTTTAAAAATGGAAGAAAAAATGCTGACAGAAGGAGAAAAAAATGTTGTCTTCCCAGCCCTGTTGCAGTCCCTTGTGGCCACCTGCTCGATCTTGATAATTGTGGTTTACTCATTTTGATGTTCATTCCACCACAGAACAAGCCACTGCTTGTTTTTTCCACCACATGGCAGTTAAAATGCCTGGTTTGCTGGCGAGGTGACATTCTATATGCGTTCCTGTTGTGTTGTTTTATCCTCTGATGAGGGGCTGCAGAAAAACATCCATCACCAGGCTATCCATACAAATCGGAGCTTACGAACCACCGGGTAAAAGGAGTCTGATCCCCCCCTCTCTTGAGCACACACACAGAAACAGACCACCTGTCAACACCCTTTCACTCTCGCTTACAGAGAAGGGATCTGAGCCCACATCATGCTGCTACACAAGTAGCACACACTCGCACACACAATTTGCTTGAAGGAAATGGAGTGGAAAAATGAAAGAATAGTGGGCAGCCGAAAGGCAGAGCTGGTGAATGTTTGCCATAGCATCTGAGACAGACGACATCAGTGAAAATTGTTGTGCAGTGTTTTGACTGGGGTGCTGATTTACTTGAGTTCAGTCAGGGCTCCGGACGATGTGTTGAATACTAACTGGCCATGGAGGCTCAGTCTCTCAGATTTATATTTCTTCCACTGTGGAGTGTTTGTGTCAGGGTTTCGGTTGACATAATTACAATCCTGAGAATAAAGGAAGCGGTCCACTAAACTTCAATGATTAATACTGACTATTTGATCTCCACGGTAAACGTTCATAACCCCAATCCAAATCACAGCAGTAATGTTCATATGCTCGTTCCAAATAATACACACTAGTGTGTTTCAATCTAAGCGAGACTAAGAAAGATTGTGTTGGAGGGTAACTTACTTGCAGTTCTGAATATCTGCCTCAAAAAGATGTTTGGAGATAAAATGATACTCCACTCCATCACTTTCCTGATGTCTCTTTGATCGAGAGGTATCTGTGAAAGATAAGGCAAAGTGAAGAGAAAAGCCATTTTAAATGTTGGAAATCTTACATGTGAGCAGAGGTTTTTCTCAAGATGGTTTTGTGTAGTTTCACACTTAATGATCGAATAGAATATGATGCATGACTTCAAATCTGAACAGATTTTGAAACAGTTGACCATGCATTTGTCGACTTTGTAAATGGTTACACAGAAAAACTGCACTATATGTCTTAAAATCACCTCATAAAATTGACTTGGCAAGACTGTAAATCTGGGCAAAAGTTGTAGTGTATTCCAGCTTTAACAAAACACAAGCCACAACTGTAGCACATCCACATTACCGGAGAAATAAAGCTCTAGTATAGCTTCAGAAAACTCTAATTTTAACATAAATATAATGACATTAGAACTGGATATCTTAAATCAATTGCAAACCGAACAGTAAAACAGAATTAAAAGAACTGGCTCGAAAGAGTCAATTGTATTGGGAATTGGGCTACACTGAATTGAACTACACTGGTCACACTATACAGTATCTTTTACATGCAGCTCACAAGAACAATGAGGACAGTACAGGTACAGTACAGGAGGCGATTTACAAATACATTACATTTTCACAAAGCCAGTAAAAAAAAGGGATTCAAGTAAAAGCTCAATCATAGGATTTTAACAATCAATACTGGGATTATTCAAAGAACATGATTATGAAGATTACAATTAATCGGAAAAACAATATTTTTACCCAGCCCTAAGTGGCATTAGATATGGTGTCCCTAACTGAAAGAAAACAGTGGACTCCCAACAGGGTTTCTTAGAGCACAGTGGTGGAATAAAGAAACACACAGCGTCTCCCTGATATGGCTGCTTCAACACTAACTGTGGTTAATGAAACGACGCCTTTGCTTGAACATTTGGGCGGCATTATGCAAATATTTCCACATAGTGAGGTAGATATGTGGGGGCGTGTTAGAACGAGACGTTTTAGGGGGGCGTGGCAGAGTCTTAACTTTGATAATCAGCTTGTAACACTCCAAAGAGAAAGGAAACCTTGAAATCGCATCATATGACCCCTTTAATGTTTGAAGATGATTCAAGAAGAACATGTGAAGAAATGTTCATTACAGACATTTCCTTGATTAAAGGGAGTTTCCCATGGGCACTTTATTTTCCACTTAATTTTATTTAAAATTAAGTAAATCACCTCTCCAAGGTCTGGCTCACCTCACCTCACCAGGAGGCTTCTAAAGGGCAGTGCGAGAATAACGCTGCTTGTAAAGCCCCAGGAGCACACTGTACAGCACCAGCACTGAGTTTACTCTGTCCCTCATTAGCCCCGTTCCTGCTTTAAGCTGGTTATAAACTCCTGTCTTTAAATCAGATGGCGCGTGCCAGTCCAGCCAGCACGGCTCCGCCGGGCACAGCCAGGGTCAGAGTTTGCCGTGCAGAGAGACACAGCGGTGTGTTTAACGAGTGCCGGGGAGGTCAAAGGTCACTGTAGAACACACCTCCGACAAATCGTCTGCAAGCCGCCAGCAGCTCCAAAACAAACTATTAAACTTTATCACCATTCCAACTCGCCTTGTTCCAGGTTTTTTCTTCCCTGATTTTTTCCTTCTGCTTTTTCAAGGCCCCTATTGAATGGGCTCTATTGCTCGATCTATTTATCATGTATGACATGTATGGGTAATTTTCCTTTATTTTTTAAATATATAAACACATTATAGTTCAGAAGTTTTGTAATAATTTTTTTTAAAAGAAACTAATACTTTCATTCAGCAAGAATAAATTAAATAGATAAAAAATAATGGTAAAGGGTACCGACATTTATAATATTAAAAAATAAATAAATAAATGCTGTTCTTTGAACTTTCTATTCAAAGAATCCTGAAAAAAGGGTATCATGGTTTGCCACAAAAATATTAATCAGAACAATCATTCTCAACTGTAATAATAATAAACCATGTTCCTTGAGCACCAAATCAGCATATTAGAATAATTTTTGAATGACCATGACACTTGCAATATTATTTTTCCAATATTACTATATGCTGTATTTTTTAATCAAATAAATGCAGCTTTGGTAAGCATCAGAGCAAAAAAAAAAAAAAAAAAACCAGACAAAAACCTTAGTCCTCAAACTTTTGAACAGTAGTGTACAATTGGTCGTAAAAAGAATGGACCGGCGACTGTCTAATTTCCTCATTTAGTTTGTAAGCGGACACCTATTCCTATAGATAAAGACAGAGAGAGACGAGGGAGAAAGTATGGTTTGGATGGGATGGGAGTAAATTATTAGTTGCCCTCAACCCATCATATATTTGATGAAGAGGCATCCCCCTCTCATGATGACAGCCGATCACAGACATAAGATAACATGTTATTATACCTCCAACTGCTGGTGCTCACAAAACAAAGGAAAAGGCTATTCCCTTGCACTGCTGAAAGAAATATAATATATTTCATCTGGCATTAGCTCTGTGGCATAAGAAATGTTTTCGGTGTGGCAAAAGAATTTGAAATTCATTCTAAGATCATGGAAAATAGCAGTAAAGGCTGGAGAGGAGAAAAAAATGTTCAAGTGCTCCCAACTAATTATATTCTACAATCGCACTAGTGTTGCTGCCACAAATGGTTTGCATTTTAAAAGATCCAATTGTTGGAAATGTGAAGCAATTGTTCACGTTGGTCTTCTTTAGAGAATTTAAACAAAAAAGATTTAATGTTTAATCACTCCATATTAAAAAGGAGAGTTAGAGCTGGCAGGATTGAAATAAAAGGGGAACGATGACCAAAAAGCATTTTCAAAACAGTCACTTTCCAAGAATCCATTTCTTTAATCTAGATTCTCCGTAAGGTCTGAGGGAAGCCGGGCTACATAATACAGACTAATGCAGGGGTCACATTTGTGAGCAATTAGGCAGCATTAAGGCAAAACTCTTTGGATGGGATTTTAATACCAGTGGTATTTTAAAGTGTCAGAGCTTGAATCAGACACATCTATTAAAGCCAAACTCGAATGTAACAAACATCCCACTGTTATATCAACAGTCATGGGATTTCTGGCCACTGTCTCCAACTCCTTCAAAATTTCAAGCTCTGTCTCTCACTTTCCTGCCTCAAAATATGAATTTTCTCCACAGCATCAGCCTGCTTAAATACATAAATTGCAGGCATATTTATGTGTCCCAAAAATAACTGCTCTGGTGTATTTCCCTGGATCATGTGTTTCTGGATGCTGGAGGGAGTGAAGGCTATGTCATGGGTGCTGCTGCTGGGGACAGAGGAATGTATCAAGTAGAGCTGTGAAAGTCTGATGAGGTGAGAGAGTCATTGTCACAAAGTTAATCTACTTTTTTGTACTGTGACCCAAAAAAAAAACAAAATCAGTCTCATACTTTGTCACGCACATGCACACGGTAGGACTTACGTGGGATGGTGATACTAAAATGTTGTGGATCGGATATCAACAATTTCCTTTTTAGCTCATTCAAACCAACACCAGAAGGACCTAAATAAGCAAACAGAGAGAGACAGAAACAAAGTCCATTAATATCTTGCTTAGATTTTATTTTAGCATGCTGCTCTTTTTTTTTTATTGTATTGTTTCTATTTTTGTCAAAAAAAAAAAAAAAAAAAAATATATATATATATATATATATGTTTTATTAAAAATACACTACTGTCCAAAAGTTTGGGTAAGACATTAATACTTTTAAAGACTTTAACATGGTTACAAAGGATTTCTATGTCAAATAAATGCTGTTCTTTTGAAATTCATATTCATTAAAGAATCCTGAAAAAATTGATCAGTTTCCACAAAAATATTAAGCAATACAAGTGTTTTCAATATTGATAATAAAAATACATTTTCTTGAGCACCGAATCAGCCTATTAGACTGATTTCTCAAGGATCATTTGACACAGAAAACAGTCATTTTAAATTGCAATTTTCACAATAAAAAAAAACATTTCCCTGTATTTTTGATCAAATAGATGCTGCCTTGGTGAGCATAAGCTGATCTTGCTGACCCCAAACCTTTGATAGGTAGTGTATACAAAAAGAACTTGGATCACAAATTTAATTTAGTCAGGCCAAGATTTACACTGTATAATGTGGAGAGTCAAGCATGGTTATTCTATTAGCCGCTAATGATTGCTATGAGACATGCACAAATCAAAATCTATGTGTTATAGAACACAAAACAGAGTTTTTTTTCTACTCACTGGGAGAATACACATTTTCATTTGATGCATCATACACTTTCCAATACACACATGACTTCATGAGAAGCCCATGACGGTGCAAAACGTTTTCCTTATTCCACTGAGATCGAGTAGAAGAGTAAGATGCTGATTTATTACGGTGAGGAAACAGGAGATTATTTCATGTGTTTTAGGGTCACTGAGTAATGTGGAGCTCCTGTTTGAGAGCCATATGTAACTCCATGTTTATGTGTGTATGCATATAGGTGGAAAAGGAAAAAAGTAGACCGCAATACATGTTTCCAACCAGCCATATTTCATATGCAAACGCTCCTCTTCCCCTTAAAAGGACCCACAAACTCAAACAGGCTTTATTTTCAGGGGATGTTAATCTCCAGACCCCACTAGGCCCTGTCCGCCTGCTTCCAGGCCCACATAAAAACCTTGTCAAATCGAAGACGGATGGTCCGTAGTCCCTTGGCCATTCTATTCACTCATCTTGTGCACTAAATGAGTTTAAAGCCCTCAATCACTCATCTCTGCAGCGGCTCGCCCTCTCTCTTATGTATAGCCGCTTGTGTCCAAAAAGCCACAAACAGCATAAACTTGAAGTCCGAGTTGAAGCACTGAACAGCCAGGCAGACCCCTACAGTCTAAACAGCTTTCAAAATGGGATGCGTCAGAGAAGTTAACCAACTTTTTTCCTGATTATTCTGTTCATTGTCATGCTTTATTGACCCAAACAAAAACTAGCCCTTTACTCTTCAACAGCCCCAATAAAATAACACATTTGAGTAATCGTTTTTCAATCCAAGTGTATGTGCGCGCTCACAGGGGCAGGTTGCAGCAGCCGTAAAAGTGTCAGTAGTCATTAAGGCACTCATTAGGGGAGAATACGAAAGGCTTAATAACTTCCAGGCCAAGCGCGGAGCAGATGCAGTTAACCCGGAGTAGCTGCTAGGCTGAATGAACGTGGGGGGGCCGCAGTCCAACCTTCTCTCAACACCACTTAAAACACTGTCCTCATACAGTATTATCAGCATCAACATATTCCACCAAGTGTGTCCGATAAATAAACTTTCTTATCATTTATATGTGTAATAAGTTCACAATTTAAATATATTTTGACGAGATTTTAAGCCTTTGGAGAGACTGGGCACTATGCTACTTTTACAGGACCCTGCCAACTGCTCAAATGTGTAAAAATTATACTTGATAGTTCTAGGAAGAAACAACACATTGCAGCCCAAATTGTAATGTTCAATTATAAAAGCCCAGACAGAGATGTTTGGAAAGAGAATGAAAATTCTGATATAAAAGGAAATAAAGAATCTGATCCATCGTTTGAACTGACAGCTCCTTTAGATCATAATTTTCCTCAATGGTCATACTTCTGTTCCACCGTTATTCTGTCTGGTTCCGAACTACCACTTTATCAACTGAAATCTCTTCAATCTTAACTCAAACATGTACAAAAAACAGATCATTTGCTATGTTAAATAATCAGGTTTCAGTTAAAACACTACGGTGGGCTTGCGAAGCTGCACATATGTTAAACGTGCTGACTTTGGCTGCTCGATTAATATGTATCCAAACAGATAAGATCTTGATTCGCCTGGAAAGTCGTTTGAAACCGAACCGCAAACCGTGGGTCAGTCGTGTGAGAGAAAGCAAAGGGGAATAATACTAAAGACTTCTCAATGATTTCCTTTAAATTAATATAAACCTTTTTCCCATCATATGACGTAGATATTTGTCAGATAATCATACCTATATGCATACCTTGTTATAATAATGTTGATGTTTTTGCTCCAGTCAGGGGAAAAAGATTCAAATGGCATCATTGATGGCTGCATTATTAAACGCAATAAAACAACCGACAAAGAGTATGAAATAAAGACAGACAGGAAAAAAATTATAAAAAGTGCAGGCCAGGAAAAGTTAAAGCATGACCTCAAGGGACAGAATAACAGTTCAGAGAGAAAACACAGCAGACCCTTTTTCTGCATCCTTGGTTTTGTCACGACTGATACATCCATGATGCTGCCCTCCACCTTGAGACAAGGTGAAAATATGAAAATATTTGGGTTAGTTTGACTGTATGAGTTGCAAATTACCAGAGGGCCATCCTGACAGTAGAATAAGCTTGATTAATTAAACAGACCACCTTATGCATTCACTTACACAGGCATGTGAACACACACCCCATTAATTACATGCACCAACAAAACTGTGATGGAATCCATATGCCGTGTTGCATTCACAAACACACGGCCTGGTCTACTGCGGTGAACCATGACCCTGTGCTACCTCTCAGAGATTTGTACGTGAAATATTTTATACACCTGGTCAACATTACTTGTCAGTATATGAGGAAAAGTTCACAACAACAACCCTTTACATTGGGAAAAATAAATTATGAACTTAATTTAAAGTGGAGGAGGTCGATGAGAATAGGTTGATGCAGCATTTCAAGATTACAAAAAAGTTAAACAAAAGAAAGACTGAAACCCTCAAGCTATCTGTCATACAAATCTAAAATACTTTTTATTTACACTTTTATGAAACACTTAATTCATTGTTCTGGCCTCTATATTCTTTGTCAAGAATTTCTGGCAAACATACACCAAATCTGACATTCGAAAATCTAATATAATTTCAAGGGTTTTTTTCACTTTGCAAAAGCTGACGCCCCACAGCGGTTTCCCTTGAAAATAAGTGTTAACAATTCTTTGGTGAATAATATTAAGAAGGAATAAAATGTTCCAAGCGCTGCAAATGAAGTGTCAGAACAATGAATAAATCCTAAACTGGTCCCGTCAGCTCTTGGGGTCTTCAGAGGGTCAGGTTGAGTCCCACAGCAGAACAGGATTTATAGGTTACAGTCGAGTGCTGTTGTGGGTAAAGCACTGTTTGTGTAGCCTCAAAATAGCGTGTTTTGAACTTTTGAAATTCCTTCTTTGTATTTTTACATTTCTAAAAACTTTTAAATGAAGATGGTCATCATTTGGACAACAAAAAGCACCTTTTCATATACCATATATATGATATATATAATATAATTTCAAGGGTTTTTTTCACTTTGCAAAAGCTGACGCCCCACAGCGGTTTCCCTTGAAAATAAGTGTTAACAATTCTTTGGTGAATAATATTAAGAAGGAATAAAATGTTCCAAGCGCTGCAAATGAAGTGTCAGAACAATGAATAAATCCTAAACTGGTCCCGTCAGCTCTTGGGGTCTTCAGAGGGTCAGGTTGAGTCCCACAGCAGAACAGGATTTATAGGTTACAGTCGAGTGCTGTTGTGGGTAAAGCACTGTTTGTGTAGCCTCAAAATAGCGTGTTTTGAACTTTTGAAATTCCTTCTTTGTATTTTTACATTTCTAAAACGTTTTAAATGAAGATGGTCATCATTTGGACAACAAAAAGCACCTTTTCATATACCATATATATGATATATATATATATATATATATATATATATATATATATATATATGAATGAATATTTCTTATTCAAGTTGTTACACTTACCAACTAACAAGACAAGTCTGTGCCTGTCTCCGTGTTTTCTGCGGTAGGCCATCACCTCTTCATAAGTGGGCACATCAGCTGTGTCATATTGCTCACTTCTCTTACATTCATACATCGATTTATTTGTCTTCTTATCTCTTCTGCTGAGACGAAAACTCCTCCGTAGACCCGCTGGAAAAGAAGAGAGAAACAAATAAAGACAAAAAAACAACAAGCTTGTCTTACATTCGTGTGCATTTGAAAATGAGGATTTAATGTAAACATAAGTCTTACTGGATTCTTAACACTCTCCTACACTTAACTCATTCTTTACTGAGCCATTCACCCTGCCTACTGCATCTGTATAGGTTTGAGGTTGTGGTCAGTGATAAATATGCTTTTTGGAAGTAGGCCTGATATAAGAAAGAAGCTGATTTGGTGAGAATTAAAACAATTTTATTACTTCAATGTTGAAAACAGTCGATACCTAATTATTTATTTATTTATTTTTTGGAAACTGTGGTCCAAACTTATGAACTATATTGTACATGGATATTCCTTAGCATCTTGAGCCACTTTTAAAGGTCCTATATACATTTTTTTGTACTAGATTTATTTTTCTTCTAAAAATATTTTTTTTATTATTATTTTTGACTATGTTCTACATATCCTCCATTCCATTCCTGTGTTCATTCATCAAATATTTTGGTGTATTGGTTACTCTTTCATCCACTGTGAAGTGTTTAGGTCTATTAGTTCCATATACCACATTTTACCATATCTAAACCAATTCCACAGATTTTCCCCTAAAAATCAGCATGGAAAATGCGAAAAGCATCCGCAGATTCCATCTGGGCCCGATCATAACAGATTTTCCTGTGCGCCATCATCATATGAACCTACTTGTGGTTCTTTCATCCACGTCCAGGTAACAAAACGACCAGACCGAAATATCTGAGGCTACGTATTTCATGGGGACACAGCAGGAGGTGGGCTATTTCAGGACACGGTCATAGCTACGGGTGGTTTTTTCATGCCCTAAAAGGTTAAGAACCTCACCACAAAACTTCCTGTCTGATTACTCTGGACAGCACCAGTCTGTCTTTAATGACCCCAGACTGTATCAAAACTCAAAACGTACCCCTCATTTAAGCAGCACGGTTTTATATTCATGACAGATGCTAGTTAGTCTAGCACAGCCCCAAACCAGAGACACCTAATATCTCTGCACAAGGCATTTTCCCCTCCCGCCTTAACTGCATTTTATTTTTTTTAAAACTGTGATTAATGAATGCAGGGACATGATGCAAGATGCGGCAGTAAGAAAAGTATGGACCGAGAAGAAGGGGAATGAAAAAAACAAAAACCCCGATCCAGTCCCATTTAATACTTTCCACAGCACTGAGAGACTGTGGAGCGCAGATGTGCGGCCATGGACAGATCCTGCATTCTTTACAGCTTGTTCTTTTTGTTTAGGTCTATTAGTTCCATATACCACATTTTACCATATCTAAACCAATTCCACAGATTTTCCCCTAAAAATCAGCATGGAAAATGCGAAAAGCATCCGCAGATTCCATCTGGGCCCGATCATAACAGATTTTCCTGTGCGCCATCATCATATGAACCTACTTGTGGTTCTTTCATCCACGTCCAGGTAACAAAACGACCAGACCGAAATATCTGAGGCTACGTATTTCATGGGGACACAGCAGGAGGTGGGCTATTTCAGGACACGGTCATAGCTACGGGTGGTTTTTTCATGCCCTAAAAGGTTAAGAACCTCACCACAAAACTTCCTGTCTGATTACTCTGGACAGCACCAGTCTGTCTTTAATGACCCCAGACTGTATCAAAACTCAAAACGTACCCCTCATTTAAGCAGCACGGTTTTATATTCATGACAGATGCTAGTTAGTCTAGCACAGCCCCAAACCAGAGACACCTAATATCTCTGCACAAGGCATTTTCCCCTCCCGCCTTAACTGCATTTTATTTTTTTTTAAACTGTGATTAATGAATGCAGGGACATGATGCAAGATGCGGCAGTAAGAAAATTATGGACCGAGAAGAAGGGGAATGAAAAAAACAAAAACCCCGATCCAGTCCCATTTAATACTTTCCACAGCACTGAGAGACTGTGGAGCGCAGATGTGCGGCCATGGACAGATCCTGCATTCTTTACAGCTTGTTCTTTTCCACACAGTCACCTAATAAGTGCTGGTGGGGACCTAAGCTGGGATACAAATGAAATACACCGTAAGTCAAGTGCTTGTGTGGTTCCACAGTGATGATTTGGTTACAAGCGTTTAGGACAGAGCATTCTTCCACTCAGGCTAACCTGTGGTCTCTGCTGCTCGTGCCACTTGACATGTTGCCATCATGCTAAAACTCAACCCTGACTGGAGCAAAAACATCAACATTATTATAACAAGGTATGCATATAGGTATGATTATCTGACAAATATCTACGTCATATGATGGGAAAAAGGTTTATATTAATTTAAAGGAAATCATTTCCTTGGAGAGGATATGCCTGTGACCTTAAGTAAGCTGAAACACTGAGTGGCTTGTTCCATTAAATTTTTGTACCCTTCAGTTTCGATAGTCGATTGGCTCTGGCATTGAGAATCTCCAATTTCCCGAGCACAGAGCAGGTGCAAAGCTTTTATTATGGCTGTTCGGCTGTGGCTAGTCAATGCAAATTGCAGTTCTCTGTCTGAAGAGGATTCGTAATCTGGACCCTTCGAAATCACTTAAAACAGGATAGACGGCTCCATCTAAATAGCCGAAATATTGCCTTCCATCTCAATGAGGATAAATAAATCAAGACACAGAAAAGCAAGCAAATCTACCCCCCTCTTGAACCCCTCTCCATAACTGATTGAATTCGAATAAAAAAACCCCCCAAAAAACATGGAAATTAATCCATTCCAGTCTGAGCAGAAATGTGTCCACATTTTGGGCCTGTTTCTTGTCAGTGAACCTTATTTCTCTCTTTTTCCAAAGGACGCAGCTTTGTGTGACAAATCTATATGTGGGGTGACGGAAGGCAGCTCAGATATATTAAAAATGCTCAGCCAAGGACCTTCTGGTTTGGGGACAAAGATACATATTTAAAAAACGCCAGCTAAACAAGGACAGTCATAAAATTCCTTCCATTTCCCTTCCAGTATGACAGTACGGGCTAGAAGTGCACCCAAACATGCACCTCCTAATGGCGTGCACTGTGGTGTGACGAGTTAATCAGACCTAGGAGCTACACAACCTACCATCACCAACTAGCAGTTCACAAATCAAACCTGTTCTTCCACTGAGACATGGAAGGAAAAACAATGAAAAAGCCCAAATTCAGTGTAAACACAGAAAGACACGCGCTGCCGCCGCACACAAAATCGCCTGAGAGCTGCTGTGGCTCCCAAATGCCCATTTTCCACAGCAATAATATCTTACAGCCGTGGAAGAAATTTTGTAGATGTGTGAGGTGAAAGCCCTGAGGGATTTAAAAAGGCTGAGGATGAAGAGGGGTAATAACCTTCAAACACATTAACTCCCCATATGGATACGGAATGATGCACATTCACATTTATCAAAAAGATAAGGGAACCAGAAAAAGGTCAAAGAGGGGAATCATAATACTCTGTAGAGTGATCAGTCAAACTGAAAGTGATTTCATAGAATGAGCTCTTGTATTTTTCCATAATTTTTTGGTTTACAACCTGCGACTAATTCTTTTATCCATTATTTTGAAATGGGTAATCCTTGTCCTGTGCTTATAAATCATACTTAATCATGTAGTACATTTTCCCAAGTATGCCACTTTTTACTGATTGAGAGAGTGAAGGTGGATACGGTTGAACAAAATTAGCTGTATTTCAGTGCGAGTAGTTTTTAGGCTTCCTGAAACGAGGAAATTAACTCAAATAAAGTTCTCTCTCTTGTGAAATGCCTCGGCCTACGCCTTCCACCCCAAACAAGGTTAACGGAGAGCTGCCTGTTGAGCATGTGAACGATCCATTCAGATAGACAGACATATGGCCTTCACTCACTCCCACCCTCTTTTACGGTCATCTGTGGAAAGGTTTAGCGGTATTGTACAGGCCCCTGGGGTGGTGTCAGGGAGACCCCCAGCATCAAACATTAAGAAGTTTCCGGCACAAATCGCACGTACCAGAATTGTCTGATCTCATCTCATGTGCACACTAACTATATTCCATCTCTTGTAGGGGGAAATGTGTCTTTCTGTGCACTCAGACAAACGGTTTACCAACTCCAGTTATCTCTCAGCATTCCCACAGATAAGCACGAACTGGCTGCCTGGATCCAGGGGAGAAGATGGATTACCATCACAGGCAACGATTAAAGAAAAACAAGTATTTAGTAGTGCTATTTGAAATATGTATTGGGCACTGCTTTGAATCATGTTGAACTCATTAAGAATGGCTGTCTAGGGGAAACACACTGTAGGAGTGGATTCCATTGTGCTACCTAAGTGGAAAGTCGTGTTCTGCCCAAGTGTTACAGGCTTGCTCTGAATACCGACTCTTCATACCTGCTGGCCAGAGGAGAATAGACTTGAATGAAGGTTGATATTTGTTTTTTCTCTGTCCTATCCAAAACTCCAATTTAGAGAAAGGATTGTTAAGATGTCTTAGAGCCACTATATACATATACACATATACATACAGTGGGGAAAAAAAGTATTTAGTCAGTCACCAATTGTGCAAGTTCTCCCACTTAAAAATATGAGAGAGGCCTGTAATTTTCATCATAGGTATACCTCAACTATGAGAGACAAAATGAGAAAAAAAATCCAGAAAATCACATTGTAGGATTTTTAAAGAATTTATTTGCAAATTATGGTGGAAAATAAGTATTTGGTCAATAACAAAATTTCATCTCAATACTTTGTTATATACCCTTTGTTGGCAATGACAGAGGTCAAATGTTTTCTGTAAGTCTTCACACACTGTTGCTGGTATTTTGGCCCATTCCTCCATGCAGATCTCCTCTAGAGCAGTAATGTTTTGGGGCTATCGCTGGGCAACACGGATTTTCAACTCCCTCCAAAGATTTTCTATGGGGTTGAGATCTGGAGACTGGCTAGGCCACTCCAGGACCTTGAAATGCTTCTTACGAAGCCACTCCTTCGTTGCCCGGGCGGTGTGTTTGGGATCATTGTCATGCTGAAA